GGAGGACTAGGTAGAACCCTGGATGATCTACATGTAGTTTAACAGGAGGACTACGTAAAACCCCAGATGATCTACATGTAGTTTAACAGGAGGACTAGGTAGAACCCTGGATGATCTACATGTAGTTTAACAGGAGGACTAGGTAATACCCCGGATGATCTACATGTAGTTTAACAGGAGGACTACGTAAAACCCCAGATGATCTACATGTAGTTTAACAGGAGGACTAGGTAAAACCCCAGATGATCTACATGTAGTTTAACAGGATTTGGACAAATTGAATTAGAATTGTTGCAATCCACATTTGAAATAAATGTTGCCACTACGAATAAACGCAGTTTGTTGTGTTTAACGTGATGGTTAAGAGTTTAGAAATTAGCTGGATTACACAACTTAAACAATATCCCATGAATATATTTTTGTATGGACTTTAATGCAGATTTAACACGTTTTACTACAGATAACTTTCAACTGGCATGTTTTCGTCCCGCTACACATCCTCGATATCCAGGGTTACGCTCACTTTCGCTCTTTACACTGGTGAGCTAACCCCTGGATATCGAGGGGGAGGGGGGGGGGGACTGGGATAAAAACTTTCTTAGTGCTTTTTATGCGTCTTGCAATCGCTGGCCTTTCTTGGTTTCTCAACAGCCATTTCTTGTTATATATGCGCCTCAGGGGTTCAAAGTAACAGACCCAGGTCTCACCCCTGTAAGTAACTCAGATAGCTTTCTTGGGTCGCAATTACCATACGTTTTCAATATGATTTTAACACGTTTCAAAACGTTTGACCTTTTCGTTCAGATGTCAACAGCTTGTTTAATTTCATGCTCTTTGTCATAATGTCAACAGAAGATATAAACAAAACGAAAATCTTCTTGAAAAATAATATGTGATAAAAAATTCATCTTGAAAATTTCAGTGTATGTTGAGACAAGCATACATGTATGCTTGTCTGAACATACACTAAAATGTTCAAGATGTTTTTAATAAAGGTTCGGTGGTCAATAGTACTTACCAATGGAGCAGCGACCGAATGGCATCCTCAAATTCAAGGGTATATTCTTCAAACGATACCAAATCACAGGGACCTGAGAATTTGTTACAGCCATATCATGATCATGTATACCAAATTCGATCTTAACCCCAAAAACGTGTAAAATTACTCTGAACACCTTAGCTTAGGTCCAAATAGTACTGACAGAAACTTTTGTGAGTTGGGTCTCTTCGTTTAAAAGATATTTTGCAGCCACTTGCCGAGACCCGTGGTGTGATTGGCTGGAAGTGCAGACATTTTTTATTTTATTCCTGTTTCTATTGAAAAATTGTGAGCTGACATACGTAATTTGGTAATCATAATTCGACGTTGTTTTGGTATAAACTTTGTTAAATAATATTGCAACATCACGGTATCTACTATATATCTATAGAGATACATTTACTTGAGATGGCCGACGAGTTGAATAAAGTTTGTTTTGCCTGATCACCTATGCGCTGTTTAAAAATAGGTAATAGACAGATGTCGGTAGCTGCCTTATCCATTTATATCCAAACCCTAGTTCAAATAATTTATGCTTTATGAATAATAACCAATTTTGAAGCGGGTTTCCCTCCAAGGATCTTTCAATAAAAATTGATTTGCTTTTATAATACAACTTTCACAATTTAACAATTTAAACCAATATTAAAACGTTCTAAGCATCTGATTATTTGCCAGAGGAAGTCGTCTAAGCTCAAAATATACCATAGCATTGCACGTAGATTTTTTAACACACCGTATATATTTACAAAATTCCTAATTCACCCATTCTATTTCCACTCGTTTAGAACTACCTATGTTTCACAGCCATACTGTAATATTGTGACACATATGTGTCAAAGAGGTGCAGCATACTTATGATGTTTAAATTTGTGTTTACATTTAGACTGTAAGGCAAAAAGCGCTTTACGACATTGCTCTGCTACATGTTAACTATAAAACTGATTTTTTTTTAATTTAATTATAAAACTGAATTTGTTATTAAATCTAAACAGAACCCCCAGATAACAGAATTGATCAACAATTGGAAATTGTGTTGCCATTATGTACCCAGCTTTCTGATTCTCTAATAATTCCACTATTTCTGAAAACCGTAATTTCATTTTTATCAGTATTGACTTTTAATTTCCATTTATTCGAATACTCATTAATATTGTTTAATAGGCTTTGTAAACCTTCGATTGACTCAGAAAATAAAACTAAATCATTTGCATTTAGAAGAAGAAATAAACTCAATTCCCCAAAATCGTAATGGGATGCACCATTTTCTATAAAACTATTTCAAATCATTTATAAACAAATGAGGAAAAATAACGGGGACAAAATTGTCCCTTGCATCAATCCAACATTATCAGATTTTTTTTTTAAATATGCCATTAAATAAACGGCTTAAATAAAACACAAGATTTAATTAATGAGAATAAAGACTTAAATTGTAGACACAAATTTCTCTCGAACACCCAGCTTTGTTAACTTGCACCACTTAAGTATCACTAAAGCGAAACAGAACTGCATTGACTGGGATAGGTTTGTAACAGGAGGAAGGGAAATGCACGGCTAGACCAGGATTCGAACCAGGGACCCTCCCGAATTCTAGACGAACGCTCTACCATATTGAGCTATCTGGTCCAGTCCAGTCCAGTCCCAAACCCCTGTAAATGAATAAATCGTACTGTACACGACAGGCGCACGCGTACATATATCCTTCGATTTTGCCATGACATATATATCAGGAGTGCAGAGAGAGCGAGTAAGTAAGCGTTACCCATATGGAGGGTGAACCATGACGCAGATGAAGCAATATATGATTTATTGTAACGTCTGTCCGTGTATTAAATTGTTCTCTGTATACTGATAGGCTGCACAACTTCGGGTTGATAAAGAATTTGAATTAAACTATAATTACTTGGATATCGATCGTAAAATACAGGTCACCATGGTTATAACTCTTTAACCCACGGAATAACCACCTATATAAGTCCGTGCTTTTATCCTAATACATGTTTTCATGTTCACGAATGGAATAGTATGAAATCTCCGAGTCTAAATACAACAAACACGGCTAGTTACCTGGCCTAACACTCCAAAAATAGCCAGGACAGAAAAATCTAGGAAAGGCCACAGGCACCTGAGCATTTGTTACAGTGATATTTAGATCTAAACTAAGGTGTTCAGACTATTTTTACACACCCAATGCTCACGTATAAATTATATGATTATTGGGGTGTCGTTTGTACCGAAAATCGATCTAAACCCCTAAAACATGTAAAATCACTCTGAACACCTTAGGTCAAAATATAACTAACAAATTATCAGTCCTTCTTAAAAGAACGTCTGAGAAAGGCAGCCGCGGCCGAGAGGTATCTCGGAATTATCCCCCGATCTCCAACCCATTATTTAGGCTGCAATATTAATATAGCTATATATAGATAGTAGGCAGTAGGCACCATGTTGGTGATCATTTATTTGTTAGAGAGACAAATAGTTTTTGCTTTCCTCTACGGTGGCTGCATGATTTGTGCCATTTCATTGTCGTCCTTTCGGGGCGAAAAGACGAAACAACGAAATGGTACAAATCAGCCACCGTATTCTCTGCGTAAACTTAAAAGAAATCCGTCCAACATGTAGCGCGTACCTGTACTAGTGAGCCTAACACAGGCTTACAGCCGAGAAATAAATTATCTTTTATTTACATAAATTCAAATTTATAAACCTAAATATGGGCCACATATCCAGTTTTAAGTTCCACAAATATACATATAAATGGGGAACATCCATGCAACGTATTTTAGAAAGAAATTACCAAGGAATAACCCTATATGTATCTCTAACATGGGGACCTGAGAATTTGGTAACGCATGGCCACCAGAGACGTATATTACAATGCATCATCGACCGTATACAGGCTGTATCGGAGAATCCGACGATGATAGTGTAATAAATGTTCAGAGTAATTTTACATGTTTTAGGGTTTTAAATCAATTATCTAACGCGGGGACATGAGAATTACTAACATTGTAACAACTATATATAGACCTACACTGATCATGTGGCGGCGTTCAGAGTGTAATTTTACATGTTAAGGAATAATTACTTGATTGAACAGTAACTATAAAATGTCCATGTCAATATAACAAAAATAAAATCATTCGCCTGAAAGCAACATGACGTATTCTACCCAACTCATCTTTAACACTATCATTTATATACGTAGATATGAAAGTTGCATTATTAGTTTTAAATTTTTTATTTTTGCAAAATATACATGGCCACACGTATTTCTTTATTTTCAGTCAAATTAAGCACCGATTCTGATTTTAACAATCTAATCTAATTCCTTGGTTATAATTAGACAAGTTAACACTGATATTTTATGAGAACACAACCTGTAGTACAAGTACCAGTCTGGATATGAAATCTAAGGCAGCAATTTTGTTTACTCATTTATTCGGGAACGTTCTTAAAAATCGACGTTTCCGATTTGGATTTTTTTTCTAGTCGTCGAAGGGAGATAATTTACTAACTAGGTATACTAAATATTTCTATGAAAATGAAGTTAAGAGTGATTACTTTGAATGTACAATAATGACATTTTCAAATTATTTTTAAATTGTATGACTGATTAGCGACTTTCACTTTTCTTTAACGTTTTCAATCATCTCAGTCGTTTTTGGGCATAAGGAAATAGAAAAATCATATTTACGCACGTGTTCCTATTTGACGCGGAGGAATAATACTAGTTTTTTGGTGACGTCATTGCAGACAAAATATGTGTTTGGAATGTATGTTTTTATGATACTAATATCGACATTTTTATTATTGACTAATGCAAATTGTTCATATATTCTGTCAATTAGCTTCGCATTTTGCACTTCGCCCTTAAGTTATCAAAAAAACTTACAAAACATGGAACTATATTCTATCGCGCAGAGTTTTCCTGTTCATATCTTATTTAAAGACTCAGTGGCTCCCTCTGACATCCCTCTTCTCAAATCGTGAAGTCGGTGATAGGTGTGTGAGGACTTTATCCGAAGCACAACACCGAAAACTGTATATTTTAAGTTTAATACCCAATTGAAAAAACACAAAAAAATCTGAAAAACTTAAAAACTACAAAAAAATCGTGGAACGGTAGGTTTTTGTTGTAAGAATATTCCGTTTTCAGCACATTTGAGATCAGCAACAGTTGGTGGACGCCATTTTACTCACTGAAACATCGTCAGAAGAAAAAGAATCGAACACTTGTAGAACGTCATAAAGATACCAGCAAAGATGGCAATGAATCCAGCAGGTCCCAGTTACCCTATGGCGTCCCTGTATGTGGGCGATCTTCAGGCAGACATTACCGAAGCTATGTTATTCGAGAAATTCTCGACGGCTGGTCCAGTGTTGAGCATTCGTGTGTGTCGAGACATGATAACCAGACGATCGCTTGGTTATGCCTACGTCAACTTCCAACAACCAGCAGATGGTAAGAATTATGAATGAAAAACATTTTGTGAACTCGCAAGAAATTGACTTCTTAATCATGAAATTATGTCGCAATTATTCGTGGCATTTTATCTTGCCCTTGGCAAAATTGACACATCATCACGACATAGATTTAATACGATAAATAATGGACGCAGGCTGTAAGCCCCTGTGTCCATATCAGTTGATATAACAATATTTACAGTATGATATACTTATGTTGTACAATTAGCATGTCCTTCATCATATATATAAAATTAAGTTAATTATTTGTTGGTATTTTCCCAGTGATTGTCCAGTAAAATTTCAAAATGTTTGACATCTTCTGCATCTATAACATCTTGCGGCAAGTTGTTCCAGGCATCTACTACGCGGAAGCTGAAAAAGCTTTGACGTGCTGTTGTATTTCATTTTTGATTTTGATAATGTAAGTGTTAGATTCCCTAGTCTGCATAGCCATAAACTCCTAAATTCAGATCTGTTCACAGTCTGCTATCTACTGCCTTTTCAAATAGAGATTGCAGTTTTTGGTACCGACTTGAGCAAATTTATATGAATGCACACATTATGCAGGTAAGGAACTCCTCCCTCGAGTATAAGTATAGGAACATTAAAATGCGCCGCAAGAAGCTACCTGAAGCTTTCCGTTTGTGTCGACTACTATGTCAACTTTACAATATGGTCATGAAAATCCGATATACACCAGGGTAGCCTAGAGATCAACTTGAATGGAATCACAGAAACTGTTAATTATGCAAGGTTCATTTGCATTCAAATTAAGTGAAAAAGGCTGTCATGTTTTCGGCTAATCAACTGCACCCAGTCCCATCAACAGCAGTGGAAAAAAAATGCTGTATTAAATAATGACCCTAAGACACAAGGTTTATGTAACAGTAACCGAAATTATGGTATGTTTTAATATATAAAAAAAACGGGCACCAAAACTGGGCGATAATATATTGCTATGTGTCATAACAAGACCAAACTTGCATTGTTGGTAAACAATGTGAACCACACTGCCTTTTATGTTCTAATCGGTCTATTTAGTAATTTCTTCAATGTTATATATATGTAGAATTCCTGTTTAACAGTTGCTATTAAAAGCATACCGAAATTAAATCATATTGAAAAATAGCATCTAATGGTGAAAATTAACCAAACCAAAGTTAAATATTGTGTGTTCAGCCGACTTGAAGTCTGGTCTGAAAAATGCTGCACATTTACGACACTGTCCAGTTCTATAGACCCATTGTGTTCAAAATGATTAATTCAGTTATCTAATCAGGCTTTGTAGGTGCAATGAAATACTGGTAAGCTGGAATGAAAAATTGAAGAAAAATTACAAATTTGGTGACGTACTAATATAGGTTTGAAGGTAATATTTGAACATTTATTAAAATTTCTGTTCACAACTTGTTTCAGCTGAGAGAGCACTTGACACAATGAACTTTGACACCATCAAAGGTCGACCAATCAGAATAATGTGGTCCCAGAGAGATCCCTCATTGAGAAAATCCGGTGTTGGAAACGTGTTCATCAAGAACCTGGACAAGAGTATTGACAACAAAGCTCTGTATGACACATTCTCCGCTTTTGGAAACATCCTGTCTTGTAAGGTAGGCTTATTTAGGTTATCTACCATGAGGGTATAACAGAGAAATCTCAAACAGTGGGGTGAAATGTCTTGTGTCGTAGATTGTTCCCGAGACTTGATAATATTGTTACTATCCACATGCTTCCTGTCATTTACCCTAGACATTGAACAGGTAAAAGTTAAAAAAAGAAGACAATGCATTGGTTAATGGGCGAGACAACAATCCACTCTATATTGAGTATAAGCACAAGTATCATAAATAATAGGTCTACAGAACTTTCAGTATACCCATAGTAGTATGTTTTTGACTGAGCAGCAGTCTCACCATTTTTCTGATCTCCTACAGATTGTGACAGACGAGAATGGCTCCCGTGGTTATGGATTTGTCCATTTTGAGACTGAGGAAGCTGCCAGAAATGCTATTGACAAAGTAAACGGCATGTTGCTCAATGGCAAGAAAGTGTAAGTATATCTAAGTGTGTACACTGACTCCTCGTAATGATATTGGTTGTATTGCTATTATAATTCATGTACTTGGAAATTTCCGTCTTTTAGTAGTCATTAAAAGTATAGCAGTAATTATCAACTAACAAATAAGTGTTGGGAATCACTTCAAAGTTCATTATTTCTCAAACAAACAATGATTGATGTGTAATTAAAATGAAACAAAAATAAATATATTTTTTGCACAATTGGAACAACACTAAAATTCCAATTTATTTGTTGTTGTTGACATATTGTGGTAACTATGGCAGTACCTTGATAGTTTGTTATAGTGTTAATTAAAACCAAAATGATCTTGGAGATCTAAAGTACTTCAAATGTCTGTTGTTCCTGTATGCCACCAATGTTAACTATAAGTTGTAACTTGTAGAACTTCTTGGTCTGGATACTATTGATCCATAATCCACTATAATATCGGCTTGTCCATTTCAGATTTGTAGGTAAATTCATGAACCGCCGTGAGCGTCTGGAGCAACTTGGTGACAAGATGAAGCGATTCAACAATGTCTATGTCAAGAACTTTGGAGACGAACTTGATGATGAGAAACTGCGAGACATGTTTGAACCGTATGGAAAAATCATCAGTGCAAAGGTGAGGAATCGATCATGGATTGAACATCTCTCAGCATTATTTCAACAGCATCTCCTATGATCTAATTAAAGGAAAAAATGAAGTTTTTCCAAGTATTTTAGGTTATAATTTGGCTTCATTCTCTATGATTTTTACAGGGTTTCTCATGAGTCTTTATTTCAAGGAAAAAATTCAAGATGTTAAATAATTTATATAATTAGAGTTTTATGTGTGCTGACCTATACACTTATCAATCACCACTGTTAAGATGTTTCAATGAAAAATGTATTGGTATTCCGATACTACTGGCACTATATATTATTCTCTTAGTAAGTGTAGACCACATGTACAAGCTTTATCAAGAACATAGACAAATAATAGTTCTGAAATTAAAGCTTGCGAGATTTGTCGTTCCGATATATGTTTCAAAATGATGAACTGATTATTTGATTGGATCTAAGGACTGACCTATTCAGGCGGTGCAATTGTGTAAATTACTTTGAAATGTGAATTTGTAATCAATTAATTTGTAACGAGTGCCAAGTGTTGTAGTACAAAAGGGGTCCCCAACATTAAGTATAGGTTATATTAAACTTCAGTGAGATGTGAAGTCTTGACTTATCTGTTAAGCAATTTGAACATTTCTATTTTGGCCACATGTGGGTTACATGACAAGTTTAAGCAGTGCCATGCATGTTTATCTAACACCACAACAGGTGGAGGAGGGGGACAAAGAAGTTGGGATAATACCACCTCCCATACTAATTAAAAACGTGTTTTAGGTGATGAGTGAGGAAGGACCCAACATGAAGCCAAGGGGATTCGGTTTTGTCAGTTATGAAGATCCTGAGTCTGCAGAGAAGGTAAAAAACAACATTCAACAAGATCATAGTTTCAACTTTTACAGCAAGCAGTATTTATGATTATGTACAAAATATTCACAAAGATGATATAAAAAAAAAGATTCATTTGTAAATTTCAGAGGAAGTTAAAATTGGCCATTTAAAAAATAATTAAACTGGTCTAGCAATCATTGGTAACTCAACTTTGAAGTCACACCATTGAAACATCTAAGGCCAAATATAAATATAGTTGTGTTTTCTGTTTCATCTCCAAAACAATTAGGGTAGGTAGGTCGGAAAAATATATCATATTTTATTTTTGTTTTGGTGAAGAAAATCTGTTTTACCTCCATGAATGAATTAAATTTGTTATTGTTTTAATGGCACAAAATATATAATTATTTATTCATATAAAAATCAAATTTATGAGATGTCAATTAACATTGTTCTTTTATCTATATTAACAACTATTATTTATAATAAATACTTCTAAATCTAGAAAAAAGCTAAAGATCTGATATCAGAGTGAATTCCCCTGAAAGGAAGTGTCCTGCTAAAAGATCTACCAGATTTAACTATGGCAGTTTTTTCAAATTTCTCTCCATGAATTTGCACTGCATTTTGTACCTAGCTTTTCTCGGGAACTTGGAAAGTTTTCTATTCATTTCAGCAGTATTTAGCAACATGACACTACTTATAATGTGCTATTAAATTGAAGATAAAAAGATCGTTTTTATGGAGTTCCTATGCTCACATTTTACAACAAAACTTAGTATGTAATGATTGTTTTCTTCATGATATTTTCAGTGTTTCAAACTACATTACAGCACGATTATTATGCTTTTTAGTTATTTCCAGATTTAGAAATGGAGAAAATACATTTGATAACGTGTGCAACGTTTAAAACAAACCAATAAAATGTATTGGGGTCGATTGGGAAACACAGCTACATTTTTATTTGGCCTAAGGTCATATGGTAGCATACCATTATAGGATTCATAATCTATCAGTAGGTTTGGATGAAAACTATCTAATAGTCCAGATAGTTTGTATTGCATGATCAGGAAGGTTACAGCACACAATCAGCTATTTTCTATCTTATACTTTCTATTGAACACATCCTTAACTGAATTGCTTAGTTCATATGGGGCAAAAATGACTCTGGCTAAGTGGCCTAAGTTCTTCCCTTGTTAGTCACTGCTAGTATATTTCTTATCGTTTGTTCGTACAAATCATCTTATTCTTTTTTTGGAACAGGCTGTTGATGAACTGAATGGCTTGGACATCAATGGTAAGACATTGTATGCTGGTCGTGCTCAGAAAAAGGCAGAAAGGCAGGCTGAACTCAAGGACAAATTTGAGAAAATCCGTATGGAGAGAATCAACAGATACCAGGGTGTCAACCTCTATGTTAAGAACTTGGATGACAACATTGATGATGAGCGTCTTCGTAAGGAGTTCTCACAATTCGGTACCATTACAAGTGCCAGGGTAAGTTGTAAAAGGTGGAAAGATGAGCTGAATTGGTAAAAATTATGCTTCTGTATTATTTTTTGGTTTTATATCGCCTCTACATGCAAGATGATCAATGAGTGCTGTTATAGCCAATATTTTTGAGTAAAGAACAACATTGGAACCACATGCCAAGACAATACTTGGTTTTCTCTAATAGTTGAAAATGCTTAGATATATGGGGTTTTGTCAGAATTTTAAAGGTTAAAAATTTCAAAGAAATAGTATTTAAGTATTAATAAATTGGTGTTCCCAAGAAAGATATACTATTGTTTTAGCCCATACACCCTGGTGTTTACCATCCTGATTGGTAAACTGCCTTCCTTACATGGGAAACATAACTCAGGCGTCTCCCTGTCTGGGCTGGTTCAAGTTATGTCCTTGCCCCAACGGAGGACACTGCACACTATTCTCAAGCACATTTGTTTGTTATCCATATTATCTTTTAAAAATAATCTGTTATCCGAGATTTAAATTGGTTAAACAGTTTAAATTTGTTTTTTGGTACAACATTTTCTATTTGTTAGTTTGGTTCTACCTGAAGGTCATATTGTATGAGAGAGATGATGTGGCTTTTGTTTGAAGGTGATGTCAGAGCAAGGTCGCACCAAGGGGTTCGGATTTGTGTGCTTCAGTTCACCAGAGGAGGCCACCAAGGCTGTCACAGAAATGAATGGCCGTATTGTGGTAGCCAAGCCCCTGTATGTGGCTCTTGCCCAGCGCAAGGAGGACAGGAAGGCCCATCTAGCGTCCCAGTACATGCAGCGTATTGCAAGCATGAGGATGCAGGTATGTTGTGCCACACAACCTCAGTTGAGCTTAGCAATCTCACTTCAAGATTGGAAATCATTGAAAAATTACAAATAAAACAAAGACATTTTGATTTTCTCAGTCTTGCTCATACCAAACTAAAATGTTTTGCCTATGCTTGCTTTTGTGAAAAAGCGAAATTGAGGTCAAATGAAAAAAAATATATGTTATGGCATTAATTTGCAAGTTCCAGCAAGCTGAGGTTTCTGTAACTTTGAGCTTTCCTTGAGATTTGCTATAGAAACTGGAAGAAAAGTTTGAACTATGTCTTCATTATGAAGATATTGTTTTAGGACCTTCCAAACATTCAGCTGTGTTGAGTCAACAAATTCAAAAAAGATTTTTTTATAAACAGTACATCTCAATTTCTCTGTTAAGAGTTTGGTAACTGTTTTCACAGGAACAATACCTCGATTCTTATGACATTTAATGTGTCTTTATTGTGTATGTATGTGACCTTGATTTTTACATATCGGTACAAGATAACGTTTGTTATAGTATCACTTATGCCAAATTTGAGATTTGAAAAAGGTGGGTGGGGTTGGAACAAATACTACATTGTTTTGTTCGTGGAAAAGAACATCCACTCGCCCAGATGATGATATTATATATAGAAATAAACCATTGTTATTAGTAATTATTCACTGTCATTGCATCATTAAATGACTATTTGCAGTTTTATGATGATAAATATAATGTCAAGTTTGGGATATTTGGTTAATTTTTTAGGTCACCTGAGCTTTAGCTCAAGTGACCTATTGCTATCCGTTTTCGTCCGTCGTCGTCCGTCGTCCGTTAACATTTTACATTTCAAACTTAAAGTCAAGTTCTGCTGGGCCGATTGAACTGAAAGTTGGTAGGAATGATCGCCTCATGGTCCTGACAAAGTGTTGTTATTTTTCGGGTCGATCAGAAATCCAATATGGCCGCCACGGCCGCCATTTTGAAAACCTATTTCAAACTTAAAGTCAAGTTCTGCTGGACCGATTGAACTGAAAGTTGGTAGGAATGATCGCCTCATGGTCCTGACAAAGTGTTGTTATTTTTCGGGTCGATCAGAAATCCAATATGGCCGCCACGGCCGCCATTTTGAAAACCTATTTCAAACTTAAAGTCAAGTTCTGCTGGACCGATTGAACTGAAAGTTGGTAGGAATGATCGCCTCATGGTCCTGACAAAGTGTTGTTATTTTTCGGGTCGTTCAGAAATCCAATATGGCCGCCACGGCCGCCATTTTGAAAAACTATTTCAAACTTAAAGTCAAGTTCTGCTAGGCCGATTGAACTGAAACTTTGTAGGAATGATCAGCTCATGGTCCTGACAGAGTGTTGTTATTTTTCGGGTCAATCAGAAATACAATTTGGCTGCCATGGCCGCTATTTTGCTACTAAATTCTAATAGGCCGATCTCACTTAAAATTGGTCTAGGAATGATCAGCTCATGGTCCTGACAAAGTTAAGTTAACATTATACTATTTTTTACTCAAATTGGTACATATTTCAACAAACAAACAAAATACTGTAGACTCAGGTGACCATTAAGGCCCATGGGCCTCTTGTTTTCCTTGAAATTCTTTTTCTAAGATTATTTTACTTTAAACACATCGCTACTGTTCCCATTGATATGAAAGGATGATTTTTGCAAGTTCCAGCAAGCTGAGGTTTCTGTAACTTTGAGCTTTCCTTGAGATTTGCTATAGAAACCGGAAGAAAAGTTTGAACTTCCTCTTCACTGTGAAGATATTGTTTTAGGATCTTCCAAACAACATCTCACTTCATCATTCAGCTTATGATTACCAACAAAACAAGGAATCTTTTATGATTAGTACATCTTAAGTTCTCTGATAAGAGTTTGGTAACTGCAGTCACAGGAACAATACTTCAACTTTTACGTCATTTAAGAAGTCATTATTGTTTAAGTATGGGACCTTGATTATTGTTTAAGTATGGGACCTTGATTGTTTGATATCAGCACAAGATAACATTTGTTTTAACATCAGTTATGCCCCTTTGATTTTTTGAAAAAATGTATTGGATTAGAACAAGTAATACTTGTAAAGATTATGTAAAACACCGGACAATCAGTTACGTTTCCCCCTTAACATCCTTCTTCTTAACCTATTTATCAGATATGGCTACAGTTCTTATTGATATTAAAATATGTGTTTTGCAAGTTCCAGCAAGCTGAGGTTTCTGTAACTTTGAGCTTTCCTTGAGATTTGCTATAGAAACCGGAAGAAAAGTTTGAACTTGGTCTTCACTGTGAAGATATTGTTTTAGGACCTTCCAAACAACATCTCACTTCATCATTCAGCTTATAATTACCAATTGTTGAGACAACAAGTTCAAAATCTTTTATGATTAGTACATCTTAAGTTCTCTGATAAGAGTTTGGTAACTGCAGTCACAACAACAATACTTCAACTTTTACGTCATTTAACAAGTCTTTATTATTTAAGTATGGGACCTTGATTATTGTTTAAGTATGGGACCTTGATAGTTTGATATCAGCACAAGATAACATTTGTTTTAGCATCAGTTATTTAAAATACTATATAAAAATAAACCATTGTAGTTTGTAATAATTTACTGTCGTTGCATCATTAAATGATTATTTGAAGTTTTTAAGATCATAAAGATTATGTCAAAATCAGGACAATCAGTTACTTTTCCCCTAAAAATCCTTTATCTAAACCTTTTTTACTACATATGGCTACAGTTCTTATTGATCCGTAAAGATGGTTTTTGCAAGTTCCAGCAAGCTGAGGTTTCTGTAACTTTGAGCTTTCCTTGAGATTTGCTATAGAAACTGGAAGAAAAGTTTGAACTTGGTCTTCACTGTGAAGATATTGTTTTAGGACCTTCCAAACAACATCTCACTTCATCATTCAGCTTATAATTACCAACAAAACAAGAAATCTTTTATGATTAGTACATCTTAAGTTCTCTGATAAGAGTTTGGTAACTGCAGTCACAGGAACAATACTTCAACTTTTACGTCATTTAGTAAGTCTTTATTGTGTAAGTATGGGACCTTGATTATTGTTTAAGTATGGATGGGACCTTGATTATTGTTTAAGTATGGGACCTTTAATTTTTGATATCAGCACAAGATAACATTTGTTTTAACATCAGTTATGCCCCCTTTGATTTTTGAAAAAATGTATTGGATTAGAACAAGTAATACTTGTAAAGATTATGTAAAACACCGGACAATCGGTTACATTTCCCCCTTAACATCCTTAATCTTAACCTATTTATCAGATATGGCTACAGTTCTTATTGTTATGAAAAGATGTGTTTTGCAAGTTCCAGCAAGCTGAGGTTTCTGTAACTTTGAGCTTTCCTTGAGATTTGCTATAGAAACCGGAAGAAAAGTTTGAACTTGGTCTTCACTGTGAAGATATTGTTTTAGGACCTTCCAAACAACATCTCACTTCATCATTCAGCTTATAATTACCAATTGTTGAGTCAACAAGTTCAAAATCTTTTATGATTAGTATCTGTTAAGTTCTCTGTTAGAGTTTGGTAACTGCAGTCACAGGAACAATACTTCAATTTTTACGTCATTTAACAAGTCATTATTGTTTAAGTATGGGACCTTGATTATTGTTTAAGTATGGAACCTTGATTATTGTTTAAGTATGGGACCTTTAATTTTTGATATCAGCACAAGATAACATTTGTTTTAGCATCAGTTATGCCCCCTTTGGTTTTTGATAAAAATGGAGTCCATGAGAACAAGTAATACTTGTAAAGATTATGTAAAACACCGGACAATCGGTTATCTCCCTTAACATCCTTCATCTTGACCTATTTATCAGATATGGCTACAGTTCTTATTGTTATGAAAAGATGCGTTTTGCAAGTTCCAGCAAGCTGAGGTTTTTGTAACTTTGAGCTTTCCTTGAGATTTGCTATAGAAACTGGAAGAAAAGTTTGAACTATGTCTTCATTATGAAGATATTGTTTTAGGACCTTCCAAACATTCAGCTTATATTTGCTAAGTATTGGATCAACAAGTTCAAAAAAGAGATCGTTATAATAAACACATCTCAATGCTCTAAGTGAATAACATATCCATGGTGATGATATTGTTTAGGACCTTCCAAACAACATTTCACATCTTCATACATAAACATATCCATTCTTGATGAGTTGAGAAAATATATTTTGATGTCACTTCAGAATGTGTAAAAACATTGTACATGTATAATTGAATGCCTGCTTAACCCTTTCACCCCTATGTTTCTTGAGTGAACTCTACCATGCACTAATTTGGAAGAGTCCATTATGATCTACAGTGGTGAAAGAGTTAAGCCAAACATGGAGATACATTTGTGTTTATCAGTGTAAAACTTGTGTGCTATGTTAACACAGGGCCAGCAGATGGGACAGATTGGCCAGATGAATCAGATGTTCCAGCCCGGTGGAAATGCCGGCTACTTTGTACCACAAATGCCACAGACCCAGAGGAGCTTCTTTGCACCACAGCAGATGCCACAGATGCGTGCAAGTCCAAGGTGGCAGACTGTCCGTCAACCAAACCCAACTGGAGGTAGGCCATTTCCTCACATTAGGACAATGTAACATTTGGGTACAAAGGTGATGCTTATTTAGCTTAACCAATCAGATGCTTAATTTTCCCCTTTCTGAGGAAAATTCCCTTCTTGGGAGGAAAAAAGGATGGATATTTGGTAATTATAGAAAATCAACCATACATGTGCACTTGCCTATATGAGGAGCAAAAGAGTTGTTGGTTTTGATAGTGTTTCTTTATGAGCAGGGCTGATATTAAGTAATGAAGCAGGTAAGTATATTGTTTGTACTGTAAAATCACTTGAAGGTTCTGTCTTTCCAAACATTGTTGTTGAACCATATTCATTGACTTGTGGAATTTCTATGAGCTTAAGATGAATAGCATAAGTGTCTAAATGTGTTGGAATGAATAGGTGTTGTAACATATTTAAATATATTTAAATAAATAGTTCAGCAAGATTTGAATAGTAAAACAGTATCCTTTTACATATTATGAAATATGAGATTGAATGTACTTTTATGTCACCACAGGCTTCCAGACAATGCCAGCTGGGCCACAGATGCGTCAATCACGACCAACAGGCCCAGCAGCGGTACGCAATAGTCTGAATGCTCGTCCAATCACGGGCCAGACAGGCGCACCACAACCCAGGATGGCCATGAACCAACAGCCCATGCCAGGTCGTGCCCCACCAAATGTGGGGGCACCAAGCGTCCAGCCACAGGCTAACAGAAGTGCTTACAAGTTCACTACACAGATGCGCAACCCACCCCAGGCAGTCCAGCCCAACCAGCCCATGCAACAGGTAGGTGTACATGAGGGTGACTAAGATAATGTGCCATAAAGGATTTATATACAAATTGTGGAGGGGGGCACACAATTGCTCTACATGCAAAATTGACCAGCAACATCTTGACTAAGAAAGAATCTGTGGATTCAGAAGTTACAACTTAAACTGTCATTTAGAGTGATATTTCCTTTAGACTTTGATGTTGCCTCAACATTTTTTTTAAAATTTGGGCGTTTGGTCTTAAAATTTGTTCTAAAATAGATTTATCAGATAACGACTGCTGAAAAAAGTTGGTCAGTTTTTTATATGAACATGTATGTTAATATTATGATGTCTCGGAACTAAATAACGTTAATACTGTAATAATTAGAGTAAGCTGTTTGGATATGTTGTAATTGATTGACTGTGTTGTTACAGCAGCCCCAGCAGGCCGTGCTCGTCCAGGGCCAGGAACCTTTGACAGCATCCATGTTGGCAGCAGCCCCACCCCAGGAGCAGAAACAGATGCTGGGAGAACGTCTGTTCCCCCTTATCCAGAGAATGTACCCCGACTTGGCTGGCAAGATCACAGGAATGTTGCTGGAAATAGACAACTCCGAATTGCTTCACATGCTGGAGTCCCATGAATCCCTCGAGGCTAAGGTGAGTGCTTACAATGGTAAAACTGGAGCAATTTACCATGCTTTCAAAACTGTTTTCATATGATAGGTTACACAGAATGCTTAGATGTTGACGCATGATTGGACAGCCTTGCTTCATTGAGCAGATTGTCCTTCACTTAATGGGTAAAATTGTGACTTGGTAAACGGCTTAAAAATCGTGCAAATTTAATGGTAGAAATGAGCAAGTTGTTCCAATGAGAATTGTGTAAATCCTGTCCAAACAAATACAGCAACACAGCCTGAAAGAACCCACACCACAATTACAACATGCATGTTGTGTGTACATATATTCCCAGTGACCTACAACGGATATAATATCAAGAGTAGCATGCAGCTTTGCTGGTAGCACACTTCAAAATATTCCAAATTGTTTTAGATCTCCTGGCATTATTACATAGCAAGGAAAAGAAAAATACAGCCTTGTTAAGTTGTCTTGTTGAACGACAAGAAAAGTTTTAGCACTTCTACAGAGCTTTTACTGTCTCGAGAATTATATAGGATAATAAATTCTCAATTTGTCAAAATAGGGACATACCATATTTAACTCATTCACCCCTGAAATTTCATAATGAACTATTCCAGCTTTTCAATTGAAAGAGCTTGAATGTGTCTTCAGGGGTGAATGAGTTAAAACAGTTTGTCAAATGAGATAACTAGTGATCTGTTTAAATTAAACATGTAGGATGTAAATCAAACATAACATTTTGTACTGGATTCAGTGGTTTAAATTAAACATGTAGGATGTAAATCAAACATGACATTTTGTACTGGATTCAGTGGTTTAAAACTAAACATGTAGGGTGTAAATCAAACATTACATTTTGTACTGGATTCAGTGGTTTAAAACTAAACATGTAGGATGTAAATCAAACATTACATTTTGTACTGGATTCAGTGGTTTAAAATTAAACATGTAGGATGTAAATCAAACATTACATTTTGCACTGGATTCAGTGGTGGTGTTTGCTCATCATTTCTATTTTCATTTGTTTAGATTAAAGACAGTTAACATTCTGGAAAATTAAAGAAAAAATGTATATGCGTCCTTCTTAAGACAGAAGGTGTTGTTTTGAATTTTTTGAATGTGCTGATTCTAAAACCTCTAATTATTTGTGTGTTACAGGTGAAGGAAGCTGTTGCTGTACTGCAGGCTCACCAGGCCAAGGAGACAACTGGTGGCAAACCTGGCTCTGACTAGGGCACAGTGCCCGTCCACCACTCCCCTTCCTCACCACAGCCAGCCTACTAACCAGCGGTCAACCATTACATCTACCTAGGATCTATCAAAAGTTTACTTCATTGAAACCTATATCATGGATTCCAGTCGCCCGGCATTGCTGCATGTGTCGATCAGTCGAGCCTGTTTGACTGACATCCTGTGTCGAAATTCCGCTTTCATTCTGTTTAAGTGATCAACACGAACATTTGCATGACAGATATTTTGTTGGAATTTGTCTGTTTTGACATAAAATTTGTTATGTTATCATGGATTACTTATCAAAACTGTTCACATGCCTCTGGTACAGGCTTATTTGTACATATCATTCAAGCATTGCATTTACATCTTTCAATGCTTGACGTGTAGCCTGTTTTTAAGAAATCTACAAAAAGATGGATAATTTAAAGTGACTTCTGCTGATATATTTTAATGTTTTGTTTCATGTTGATTATTATGTACAAGTCTGGGCTATTCTGATGCTGTCCAGTAAAGGAAGACCTCTTTTCTCTGTAAAAACCACTTGGCTGTATCAAATATGTCATCCACCATTCTACTGTGACAGAAGACAAACTTGTCCAGCAAAGCCATTGCTAAGTGAACCATTGTATAATTTTGTGAAAATGTTTGTAGATATTTGTGGCTAGGTGATTTGGTTTAATACTGTAGGTGTACAAATGTTGATGAAGGTGGAGGGGTGACTCACGATTTGTTATATCTTGAAGCGGTTGAGGTGTTGGGGTTGGTATCGGTTTTGGCCATCTTTAAACTAACCAAATACCAAATAATCCATCTCCAACACAACTGACAAGCTTCTAACAGAAAGAAAAAAACTTGAAAAAAATCGCAAAAACTTGTAAAAAATTCACATAAAGAAAATGGATTATTAACTTTATCTTATAATATTTTTTTTAAAGAAAACCTAAAAAAAAAAAGCAATATATATATAGCATATATGTATGAAAAAATGAACAAAAAAATTGAAAAACATGTGATAAAAACCTATATCCATAAACATGTTGTAACCCTTGTTATTTTAGAGCTAGCTTGACATGATGAAGAAGCACAAACACCTGTTACAAACTGACGAAAACTTAGAGAAGAGGGAACGTATTTTATGAGTATGAGGGATTTAGTTAATAATCCTTTTTATACTGTTTTTTTTTTCAGAAATTTTTAGTTCAAATAAAACTTCCGTTTCATTAATGTGTTTTGATTTTATTTTTAATTGTGACAAGTTTATATATATATCCTAAAAAGGAGGGTGTGACAAGTTTATATATATATCCTAAAAAGGAGGGTGTGACAGGTTTATATATATATATCCTAGAAAGGAGGGTATCATGATGTCTGTAATGAACTTTAATGCTTGTGGAAAACTAAGTCACAGTCACCTAGTATTTCGGCTTCATAAAAAAAATGAAATTTATTTTTTGGGAGAGGATCTCCACATTTCCAAGCACGTTCAGGAAAATATCAACTATCCAGATGAATGCAATACACATTAAGTAGTCAGTCTTGCTCATTCGATTTTAACAATTCTATCAAAACGGACGTCCATTGTTTAAGCTTGACATTTAAAAGCTAAGGTTAGAACTAACGTCTTTTTCACTCTATCCAGCTGTACAAATTGGAACCAGTAGACTGCACATTTATGCAATACAACCGGTTTGACTGTTTTTGTAGCATTTTTGGGTCTAAATCCTGACAGACCTGTTAATGTTTTACAAGCCCTGCAAGGCTTTGTGACGGATCGCCTGAAAGCAGCATCAGATTAATAGTACTAGGGCAGAAAGAACTCTGGTCCAATCGCTTGGATCTCGATAAACGAAAGTAACCTAGCATTTACCGAGAACTACTTCTGTGATGGGACTTTTGGTTTTTTTCAAATGAATCCTAGAATCTTCATTCCATAGACCATGCTTTTGATAAACCTGCTGGATTGTGAGATTCTGAATGAGTGCAGAGGCACCATGAAGACGACCCTTATTCATTAATAACTAAAAATAAGATCTCTTCAATTTAATCAATATTTTATTTGTTAAACATTGATGAATATTACACATTTGAAATCGTAACGCAATTTCATCATGGTCATTCATAATACAATAAAAAGTCAGAATCATGAGCACACAATATGTATTGAAATGTTTTGCAATTGATTACAAAATTTTGCATTTACTAGAAACCTATGGGTCTTGGGTCACCTCATCCTCGACATCCCTGGAATATGTCGTAGCAAAACTGAAGGCACACGGCTAGATATTTGATTGGTGTCGGGATAAAAATACCTGACCAATCACTAGGCTGATAGTTGTCCTTTGAAGATTACAAAGGAGCCACGCCCGACTTCAAAGCCTGTCATTTGTTACCATTACGCGACAGCGAGATTACTTTGATGTACATCAAAGGACCAATCTAGTCTTCTCGTCTCATCCACAAGGTGCTGCACATTGAGGCTTCGATTTTTCTATGACATATTCCAGGGATGTAGAGAGCGAAAGTGAGCATAACCCATGGATATCCAGGATGGGGTTGCCCGAGTTGTAATACAATTATTATTTGTTGAGATGTGAAAAAAACAAAGCACAAAATAATGTCGAGAGTGACCAACACACATCTGTAATAGGAGTGGAAAAATGCATGGCCGGACCAGGATTTGAACATAGGACCCTCTGAAATATGTATACAGCAAAATCAAGAACATCGGGCATCATTTCAGTACTAGATATTAAGACTGCAATTGCATAATTCTGACAAAGTTTGAATTATTTCTTATACAACAGTTTAACTAAATAAAATTTACCCCTCCCAAGGAGGAAATGGGTGTTTAATTTTGATCAAGCAATAGGATATTTCCATCCATAAAGAGTACTTAATTCAGGCATATTTGTCTGAAGAAGACGGTTGACCATTTTGATCTCCATAGGTTTGGTTTGTTTGTGTATTTAAGGATATGCCAGGTTTTGGTAGTGGAGGAAAACCGGAGTACCTGAAAAACAAGAGGCCCATGGGCCTTAACGGTCACCTGAGTCCTACAATATTTATTTTTGTTGTTGAAATATGTACCAATTTGAGTGAAAAATAGTATAATGTTAACTTAACTTTGTCAGGACCATGAGCTGATCATTCCTAGACCAATTTTAAGTGAGATCGGCCTATTAGAACTTAGTAGCAAAATAGCGGCCATGGCAGCCAAATTGTATTTCTGATTGACCCGAAAAATAACAACACTTTGTCAGGACCATGAGTCGATCATTCCTACCAACTTTCAGTTCAATCGGTCCAGCAGAACTTGACTTTAAGTTTGAAATAGGTTTTCAAAATGGCGGCCGTGGCGGCCATATTGGATTTCTGATCGACCCGAAAAATAACAACACTTTGTCAGGACCATGAGGCGATCATTCCTACCAACTTTCAGTTCAATCGGTCCAGCAGAACTTGACTTTAAGTTTGAAATAGGTTTTCAAAATGGCGGCCGTGGCGGCCATATTGGATTTCTGATCGACCCGAAAAATAACAACACTTTGTCAGGACCATGAGGCGATCATTCCTACCAACTTTCAGTTCAATCGGTCCAGCAGAACTTGACTTTAAGTTTGAAATAGGTTTTCAAAATGGCGGCCGTGGCGGCCATATTGGATTTCTGATCGACCCGAAAAATAACAACACTTTGTCAGGACCATGAGGCGATCATTCCTACCAACTTTCAGTTCAATCGGTCCAGCAGAACTTGACTTTAAGTTTGAAATAGGTTTTCAAAATGGCGGCCGTGGCGGCCATATTGGATTTCTGATCGACCCGAAAAATAACAACACTTTGTCAGGACCATGAGGCGATCATTCCTACCAACTTTCAGTTCAATCGGCCCAGCAGAACTTGACTTTAAGTTTGAAATGTAAAATGTTAACGGACGACGGACGACGACGGACGAAAACGGATAACAATAGGTCACTTGAGCTAAAGCTCAGGTGACCTAAAAACCCACTGACATGCCGTCAATACCTGGCAACTGCCCGTGGTAGACTTGAACCTGTGACCCAGTGGTGGAGGGCTAGAGGCCAAATGGATGGAATATATTTTATCACAAATTTGGTTTGTCTTTGGCCATGAAAGCTTTCTGCAAAGGATATTGAAATTTGAGAAGAAGTAAAAAAAAAAATAGATGATGCACGGCAATGGACAAAAAGGATGTTACAACAGGTCGCAGGTGACCTGATAAAAACTTCTGAATTTTCCATGTGATTCAGTTATTAAAACATACACTGAAGGAGTAGATATCGGGAATCTAATTCCGGATATACAGTATCATAAATTACTGTACCACAAAAACTATTTTGGCGTTGTACTGAATTATAGACTTCGTGTCATCAAAGATAATCTGTACTTTGCTGGAGATTGAAGGATATCAAATTTATTAAAATATATAACATTGAGTAAGCTAGCTGTGCCATTATCAATGTTGCAGAAGCTAGGTCAAAAACTAAAATGACTTACAGAAATATGAGGGTCGCATTCATTCTGTAGTTTACGGAGGCCTTAAAAGAGAGAGATAACACATTGATTCCAACAGATGACCTTAACCTGCTTTCAGGGTCAAAGGGGTCGATGAAAAGAAAATCTTTTTTTTTTACCTCAAGGTCATCAATTAAATATGAAAGGTTAAAAAAAAAAGATACAAAAACAGTTGAGCAATTCAGGCCATTTCGGTCTCTTGTAAAAAAAAATATTTTATTTTATTTATACACACTGGCAACAGCAGTCCACATATATATCTCATATGTATCCTATACATTAATCTATTTATAACTTGAGTAGTATTCTCCATATATTATAAATATAGGATCTTGAATCAAGTTTTCATTTCATATGAGATTTTATGAAACGAGTCTTGGTAGATTTTATTTTTGCAAGCCTTGGCGATTATACGGGTTTCATTAAAGCTCATATGAAATGAAAATTCATTTAAGATACTTTTTATCACATAACTAATTAAACTTACATTTTGACAGGTTTTAAAGCCAAAATGTAGAGGGCTTAATCAAACGGAGACAGCCATTTTGTTGCGCCATTCACATATTATGACGTCACGTCATTGTATTATGACGTCACAATTGATTTCTGATTGGCACAGCCAATGAAAAACGTTCCAGGGTATATTACAATAGTGACATATGTTAAAATATTATATGGGCGAATTCACTGGATAACAGGCCGATTATGTGATAAAGGGATATAATATCATTGTCCATTGTCTGATAGTAATAAACTAGTACATATATATTTATATATTGCTTAAAACAAGTCTGTTGTTTGTCTAATGTCTAAATAATAACTTATACACACCATTACAATACTTAAAACAATTACCCCCAGATATCTGATGTCAACATGACAGCATGGCAATGTAAACTTTGTGTCTGTCCCGTATACAATTACTCCCTGATATCTGATGTCAACATGACAGCATGGCGATGTAAACTTTGTGTCCGTCCCGTATATAATTATTCCCAGGTATCTGATGTCAACATGACAGCGTGGCAATGTAAACTTTGTGTCTGTCCTGTATACAATTACTCCCTGATATCTGATGTGAACATTACAGCATGGCAATGTAATCTTTGTGTCTGTCCCGTATACAATTACTCCCTGATATCTGATGTCAACATGACAGCATGGCGATGTAAACTTTGTGTCCGTCCCGTATATAATTATTCCCAGGTATCTGATGTCAACATGATAGCGTGGCAATGTAAACTTTGTGTCTGTCCCGTATACAATTTCTCCAAGGTATCTGATGTCAACATGACAGCGTGGAAATGTAAACTTTGTGTCTGTCCCGTATACAATTTCTCCAAGGTATCTGATGTCAACATGACAGCGTGGAAATGTAAACTTTGTGTCTGTCCCGTATACAATTTCTCCAAGGTATCTGATGTCAACATGACAGCGTGGAAATGTAAACTTTGTGTCTGTCCCGTATACAATTTCTCCAAGGTATCTGATGTCAACATGACAGCGTGGAAATGTAAACTTTGTGTCTGTCCCGTATACAATTTCTCCAAGGTATCTGATGTCAACATGACAGCGTGGAAATGTAAACTTTGTGTCTGTCCCGTATACAATTTCTCCAAGGTATCTGATGTCAACATGACAGCGTGGAAATGTAAACTTTGTGTCTGTCCCGTATACAATTTCTCCAAGGTATCTGATGTCAACATGACAGCGTGGAAATGTAAACTTTGTGTCTGTCCCGTATACAATTTCTCCAAGGTATCTGATGTCAACATGACAGCGTGGAAATGTAAACTTTGTGTCTGTCCCGTATACAATTTCTCCAAGGTATCTGATGTCAACATGACAGCGTGGAAATGTAAACTTTGTGTCTGTCCCGTATACAATTTCTCCAAGGTATCTGATGTCAACATGACAGCGTGGAAATGTAAACTTTGTGTCTGTCCCGTATACAATTACACCCAGACATCTGATGTCAACAAGACAGCATGGCAATGTAAACTTTGTGTCTGTCCTGTATACAATTACTCCCAGATATCTGATGTCAACATGAAAGCATGGCAATGTAAACTTTGTGTCTGTCCCGTTTACAATTACTCCCAGATATCTGATGTCAACATGACAGCATGGCAATGTAAGCTTTGTGTCTGTCCCATATACAATTACTCCCAGATATCTGATGTCAACATGATCAACATGACAGCATGGCAATGTAAACTTTGTGTCTGTCCTGTATACAATTACTCCCTGATATCTGATGTCAATATGACAGCATGGCAATGTAAACTTTGTGTCTGTCCTGTATACAATTACTCCCTGATATCTGATGTCAATATGACAGCATGGCAATGTAAACTTTGTGTCTGTCCTGTATACAATTACTCCCAGATATCTGATGTCAACATGACAGCATGGCAATGTAAACTTTGTGTCTGTCCCGTTTACAATTACTCCCAGATATCTGATGTCAACATGACAGCATGGCGATGTTAACTTTGTGTCTGTCCCGTATACAATTACTCCCAGATATCTGATGTCAACATGACAGCGTGGCAATGTAAACTTTGTGTCTGTCCTGTATACAATTACTCCCAGATATCTGATGTCAACATGACAGCATAGCAATGTAAACTTTGTGTCTGTCCCGTATACAATTACTCCCAGATATCTCCCCTCAACATGACAGCATGGCAATGTAAACTTTGTGCCTGTCCCGTATACAATTACTCCCAGATATCTGATGTCAACATGACAGAATGGCAATGTAAACTTTGTGTCTGTCCCGTATACAATTTCTCCCTGATATCTGATGTCAATATGACAGCATGGCAATGTAAACTTTGTGTCTGCCCCGTATACAATTACTCCCAGATATCTGATGTCAACATGAAAGCATGGCAATGTAAACTTTGTGTCTGTCCCGTTTACAATTACTCCCAGATATCTGATGTCAACATGAAAGCATGGCAATGTAAACTTTGTGTCTGTCCCGTTTACAATTACTCCCAGATATCTGATGTCAACATGACATCATGGCAATGTAAACTTTGTGTCTGTCCCGTTTACAATTACTCCCAGATATCTGATGTCAACATGACAGAATGGCAATGTAAACTTTGTGTCTGTCCCGTATACAATTACTTCCAGATATCTGATGTCAACATGACAGCATGGCAATGTTAACTTTGTGTCTGTCCCGTTACTGGAGGTGCTGCCTGATTACTCCCTGATATCTGATGTCAACATGACAGCATGGCGATGTTAGCTTTGTGTCTGTCCCGTATACAATTACTCCCACATATCTGATGTCAACATGACAGCATAGCAATGTAAACTTTGTGTCTGTCCCGTATACAATTACTCCCACATATCTGATGTCAACATGACAGCATAGCAATGTAAACTTTGTGTCTGTCCCGTATACAATTTCTCCCTGATATCTGATGTCAATATGACAGCATGGCAATGTAAACTTTGTGTCTGTCCTGTATACAATTACTCCCTGATATCTGATGTCAATATGACAGCATGGCAATGTAAACTTTGTGTCTGTCCCATATACAATTACTCCCTGATATCTGATGTCAATATGACAGCATGGCAATGTAAACTTTGTGTCTGCCCCGTATACAATTACTCCCAGATATCTGATGCCAACATGACAGCATGGCAATGCAAACTTTGTGTCTGTCCCGTATACAATTACTTCCAGATATCTGATGTCAACATGACAGCATGGCAATCTAAACTTTGTGTCTGTCCCGTATACAATTACTCCTTGATATCTGATGTCAACATGACAGCATGACAATGTAAACTTTGTGTCTGTCCCGTATACAATTACTCCTTGATATCTGATGTCAACATGACAGCATGACAATGTAAACTTTGTGTCTGTCCCGTATACAATTACTCCCAGATATCTGATGTCAACATGACAGCATGGCAATGTTAACTTTGTGTCTGTCCCGTTACTGGAGGTGCTGCCTGATGTAATTCCAGGTATCGCCTCCAGTAACTCATTAAAGATTCCATATCACGCTTTTGTCTTTCCTTAAAGTTGTCTGAAAGAGAAAAAAGTCAGTTATTTCAAATATTTTATTTCATAATTTGGTTCATTTTACATATGGCTAAACCTCTTTGCTAACCTGTTAAAACTTGATATTGCACTAAAATTTGAATTAACTAAAATAAGCATGTGCATGTTAGAAATCTTGATTTCCCTTATCATGCATTACAAGTTTCCAATAAAAGGAAAGGTTAGTTACAGTCCAGTGAGGTCAATATAAATATTGTATACTAAGTGTGTGTTAACAGTTGTTACGATGGAGCTCGAGGGAGGAAATAAAATCACAGCGACCTTCATTTGATTACCTCCCTTTGGTTCCTGTCTACTCTACATGGACGGCCATCGCTTTAGCCATGAGACGGTCAGTCAGGGGAGCATTCTGTTTAAGTGACTTCCGCTCTGTCAACAGTGACCTGTAACAGTGCAAACCACAGAGACATATAAAGCCATTAGTATATATATACCACTAGTCAGAGACATATAAAGCCAGTAGTATATATACGTCTCTGCACTAGTCTAAAAGTAACAAGTGTCATATCAGAGATATTGTACATAATTGTATTTTTATTTTAATGATATTTCCAGATAGAAATTTAAAATCACCCCAGGTGTCACGTACAGCATGATTATTGAAATTTTGCCAACTGATGGTCAACTTCCTCAAAGTTGCAAGTGAAAGATACAGTGTACAATCAAATTATTTCTGAGAACTCTAGCTGCATATATATATATATACACACTTTTTACTAATAAGGGCTGCATTAGCTCATACCACCACTTCAAATTTCATAAAAAATTATTAGAGGATGTATACTGATGAATAATTTCATGTATATAAAAATGTATTTAATAGAAGTTGTTAAAATAAAATCAATATACATGTGTGACAGATTTTAATTGTACATAGGATTAAGGTCGCCTTCTAGCTTTGAGCTAGAGGGAATTTCCCTTTAGTTTAGTGGTAGAGCGTCCGACTAGGAACCTGGAGATCACGGCTTCGATTCCTGGTGGAAGCAAATTTTTATCTTTCCTGTTACAAATGGTATCCCTGGCCCTCCCTATGATAACAGGGAGCTAGAACCTGGGTTGTGGTGTTCGAGGGCAAACACATTTAAAAAGGGGAGAGTAGTGTGGTAGATTTTAATTGTACATAGTACTAAGGTCGCCTTCTAGCTTTGAGCTAGAGGGAATTTCCCTTTAGCTCAGTGGTAGACTGTCCAACTAGGAACTTGGAGATCACGTGTTCAATTCCTGGTGAAAGCACACTATTCTCTTTCCTGTTACACATGTGTGCTGCAAAACCATATTTGTTTTTACACCTTGAAATTTGATACAGAACAATGTTGTAATATCTATAATATACATGACATGCATATGCATAGCGTTAACGGAAGGACTAGAAAAGCTAGCTAAGAAAGACACAACTGGAATGAAAGTGTATATATTGGATATTTTTAGGTAATTTTTTTCATTATGAAAATAAAAGTTTTCAAACTGATTTTTTTACAGCAAATGAAACATAATTTTTGTAGATGTGGCAGAAAAATATGACACTATATCATTTGATATCAAAATCATGCAGTTTCAAAACAGAAAACATGTAAATTCTAAATAATAAACAACCTTATTTTGTCTCATGCTAATTAGCATCATGAAGTTTTGATTTTCATTTTTGTAAGATAACATGCAACATGTGTTTTGATACTGAAATAGTGATGCAATGATATGTTGTGTGGATGTACTGTAGAGACAAAATAAAGAAAGGCAGGAAAAACTGCATTCACTATTCATCTGATATCACTCACCATTTCAAAAGGGGAAATATATGTATCTGAAATAATTTTTAATGAGAAAAAGGAACAATAAAAAATATGTTTCACAGTATATCATATTAATGTGATATAAAAAGAAAATTTTCAAATTAATTTAAATAAAATGTCATGATATAATATGGATAGATATTTGCATCTGTACCTACATAGGAGCAACATTGTTATTTCATTTTCACTCAAAATACCGATTCTACAAAACCCTAACTAAAAATATAGGGGGGTAATTATAACATGTAACAGGGGTGAGGCCAATCATACAGTTGGGAGCTTCCCCTGGGGGTGGGGCAAAAACGATAGTAGGGAGCAAACTTAACTTGACTTAAATATTCTAGTGCACTGGCGATAGCAAAGTAGTGCACTAAGTTACACACAGTAGTGCACTAAGTTACACACAGTAATGCACTAAGTTACACACAGTATAGCACTGAAGTAAACACAGTAGTGCACTAAGTTACACACAGAAGTGCACTGGACTAAACACTGTAGTGCACTAAGTTCCTCAGAGCAGAGCACTAAGTTACACACAGTAGTGCCCTGGAGTAAACACAGTAGCACACTAAGTTACACACAGGAGAGCACTGGAGTAAACACAGAAGTGCACTGGGGTAAACACAGTAGTGCACTTAGTTACACACAGAAGTGCACTGGAGTAAACAGAGTAGTGCTCTAAGTTACACACATAAGTGCACTGGACTAAACACAGTAGTGCACTAAGTTACACACAGAAGTGCACTGGAGTAAACACAGTAGTGCACTAAGTTACACACAGGAGAGCACTAAGTTTTACACAACAGTGCACAGGAGTAAACACAGTAGTGCACTAAGTTACACACAGTAGTGCACTAAGTTACACACAGAAGTGCACTGGAGTAAACAGAGTAGTGCAATAAGTTACACTCATTAGTGCACTAAGTTACACACAGTAGTGCACTTAGTTACACACATTAGTGCTCTAAGGTACACACAGTAGTACACTAAGTTACACATATAAGCGCACTGGAGTAAACACAGTAGTACACTAAGCTACACACAGAAGTGCACTGGAGTAAACACAGTAGTGCACTAAGTTACATACAGGAGAGCACTAAGTTTTACACAACAGTGCACTGGAGTAAGCACAGTAGTGCACTAAGTTACACACAGTAGTGCACTAAGTTATACACAACAGTGCACTGGAGTACACACAGTAGTGCACTAAGTTACACATAGTAATGCACTAAGTTATATGCAGAAGTGCACTGAAGTAAACACAGTAGTGCACTAAGTTACACACAGAAGTGCACTAAGTTATACACAACAGTGCACTGGAGTAAACACAGAAGTGCACTAAGTTACACACAGTAGTGCACTAAGTTACACACAGGAGAGCACCGGAGAAAACACAGCAGTGCACTAAGTAACATACCGGAGAGCACTGGAGTAAACTCAGTAGTGCACTAAGTTACACACAGTAGTGCACTAAGTAATACACAACAGTGCACTGGAGTAAACACAGAAGTGCACTAAGTTACACACAGTAGTGCACTAAATTACACACAGGAGAGCACTGGACTAAACACAGTAGTGCACTTAGTTACAAACATTAGAGCACTGGAGTAACCACAGTAGTGCACTAAGTTACACACAGAGCACTGGAGTGAACACAGCAGTGCACTAAGTTACACACATTAGAGCACTGGACTAAACACAGTAGTGCACTAAGTTACACACAGTAGAGCACTGGAGTAAACACAGTAGTGCACTTAGCTACACACATTAGAGCACTGGACTAAACACAGTAGTGCACTAAGTTACACACAGGAGAGCACTGGAGTAAACGCAGTAGTGCACTAAGTTTCACACAGTAGAGCACTGGACTAAACACAGTAGTGCACTTAGTTACACACAGTAGAGCACTGGAGTAAACACAGTAGTGCACTAAGTTACACACATTAGAGCACTGGACTAAACACAGTAGTGCACTTAGTTACACACATTAGAGCACTGGAGTAAACACAGTAGCGCACTAAGTTACACACAGGAGAGCACTGGAGTAAACACAGTAGTGCACTAAGTTTTACACAGTAGAGCACTGGAGTAAACACAGTAGTACACTAAGTTACACACAGTAGAACACTGGAGTAAACACAGTAGTGCACTGAGTTACACATGGTAGTGGACTGGAGTGAACACAGTAGTGTACAAAGTTACACACAGAAGAGCACAGAAGTAAACACAGTTGTGAACTTAGTTACACACAGTAGTGCACTAAGTAACACACAGGAGAGCACTGGACTAAACACAGTAGTGCACTTAGTTACACACATTAGAGCACTGGAGTAAACACAGTAGTGCACTAAGTTACACACAGGAGAGCACTGGACTAAACACAGTAGTGCACTAAGTTACACACAGGAGGACACTGAAGTAAACACAGTAGTGCACTAAGTTACACACATAAGTGCACTGGAGTAAACACAGTAGTGCACTAGGTTACACACAGGAGAGCCCCGGAGTAAACACAGTAGTGGTCTAAGTTACACACATAAGTGCACTGGAGTAAACAGAGTAGTGCACTAAGTTACACAGAGCAATGGACTAAACACAGTAGTGCCCCCCGTTACACACATTAGAGCACTGGAGTAAACACAGTAGTGCACTAAGTTCCACACAGAGCACTGAAGTGAACACAGTAGTGCACTAAGTAACACACAGGAGAGCACTGGACCAAATACAGTAGTGCACTAAGTTACCCACAGAGCACTGAAGTGAACACAGTAGTGCACTGGAGTAAACACAGTTGTGCACTAAGTTACACACAGAAGTGCACTGGAGTAAACAGAGTAGTGCACTAAGTTACACACACTAGAGCACTGGAGTAAACACAGTTGTGCACTAAGTTACACACACTAGAGCACTGGAGTAAACACAGTAGTACACTAAGTTACACACAGTAGTGCACTAAGTTACACACATAAGTGCACTGGAGTAAACACAGTAGTGCACTAAGTTACACAGAGCAATGGAGTAAACACAGTAGTGCACTAGGTTACACACAGGAGAGCACCGGAGTAAACACAGTAGTGGACTAAGTTACACACATAAGTGCACTGGAGTAAACACAGTAGTGCACTAAGTTACACACAGAGCACTGAAGTGAACACAGTAGTGCACTAAGTTACACACAGTAGTACACTGGAGTGAACACAGTAGTGCACTGGAGTGAACACAGCAGTGCACTAAGTTACACACAGTAGTGCACTGGAGTAAACACAGTAGTGCACTAAGTTACACACAGAGCACTGGACTAAACACAGCAGTGCACTAAGTTACACACAGAGCACTGGACTGAACACAGCAGTGCACTAAGTTACACACAGAGCACTGGAGTGAACACAGAAGTGTACAAAGTTACACACAGTAGTGCACTGGAGTAAACACAGTAGTGCTTTAAGTTACACACAGAGCACTGGACTAAACACAGCAGTGCACTAAGTTACACACAGAGCACTGGACTGAACACAGCAGTGCACTAAGTTACACACAGAGCACTGGAGTAAACACAGCAGTGCACTAAGTTACACACAGAGCACTGGAGTGAACACAGAAGTGTACAAAGTTACACACAGTAGTGCACTGGAGTAAACACAGTAGTGCTTTAAGTTACACACAGAGCACTGGACTAAACACAGCAGTGCACTAAGTTACACACAGAGCACTGGAGTGAACACAGCAGTGCACTAAGTTACACACAGAGCACTGGAGTAAACACAGCAGTGCACTGGAGTGAACACAGCAGTGCACTAAGTTACACACAGTAGTGCACTGGAGTAAACACAGTAATGCACTAAGTTACACACAGTTGTGCACTGGAGTGAACACAGTAGTGCACTGGAGTAAACACAGTAGTGCACTAAGTTACACATAGTAGTGCACTGGAACTAACAATGCAGTGAATTATGGTCAACATGTACTTAAGTGCAGTACAATGCTTTGTCTAGTGCACTATCGTGTTCAGTAGTTAGTGTGTACGACATTAGAAAGCAGTAGATACTGTACCAAGGTTAGTTTGCTCCCAAATGTAAGTTACAGGACAGTTTTTTTATATCCATTAATGGAATATATGCACACTACATGGATTTACCATCATTAAAATTTAATTACCTTGCAAAATTGTGGAAGATGCCTGTTAAATTGACCCCATCCACCCAAAATAAAGCAATATCAGCAATTTAAATATTAACGAGTTGTGGTTGAACGCTGACCAAGCATTATGTGACACTCTGGGTGTTGAATTGTCACCCTGGTAAAATACTAGCTGTTTCCTACCGACTCAGCTAGGGAGAATTTCTCTTTAGCTCATTCGGTAGAGCCTAAGACTAGTAAGCCAGAGGTCCTGGGTTCGACTCCTAGCAGAGGTATTGAAAAAATTATGACCTCTGTTTCAGAAGGATACCAGAACGTCGCTATATAAAAGTGATCATGTCTTACCTCGCCAGTTTACAGTGGTCCTTCCTGGTAGACTTGATCGCTGCCTGGATGAGTAACTGATTGAAGACATCCCGCTACAGGTAAAGGTAAACATGAGTCATAAACATCAGATTTAACCCTTTCACTCCTAGGTAACTTGAGTAGACTTTACCTACCATACATTCATCCAGATGAGTCCATGATGGTCTACAGTGATGAAAGGGATAATTATGGGGTGTTACATAATCAAAAAATTGTTTTGGTACAAATTTCTCTGATGGTCAATTAGCATATACCAGTAATAATAGGAAATACATTTTCCAGCTGAAAAGGAGAGTTTTAAAAGTTTGAGAAATTTACCAATAAAATGGTAAAGAATTCGACCTAGATGATGGTCTATGGTTATACTTAAGTTTAACAGTCAACAGTAAAATATACTGTGGGCCGTCCGTTGTTTGTACGGCCAATGTGACCAGAAGTATCGTGAGGGACAGAGATAGCGAACTGATTTTATTTGAAAAATTGTCTGATAATGATGTCCTTTTCTCCTTAACAGGAAAATTCAACAGACAAACAAAATAAAAATGACAACACTAGCAAGATGTCTACCTGTGCGTGACTGCCTCCTATAGTAATGATCCTGTACCTTATAGGGTACATCAGATCTACTGCCCGCGCATATTCTCCGTTCTCATACGCCAGTATTCCTTCACACAACGGCACGCCTACTTCCTCCGATATACGCCGGTTATCTCCCTTCCCATTCCTACAACAATCAAAAGGTCATCCTAAGTGCCACTTATAACATTGAAGAGCAAATAATTAATCTGGTCAGGTATGCTTTATTTTACCTCACATGAAAAATAAGTTTCTGTTCTCTTTTCTTTTTCCCTGGATTAGTGTGCTGGACATAGCTAGTGATCACTGAATAAGGCGAAATCAGATTCCACATAAGGAAAGAGATGGTGCTAGGGACGAATATGTGATTCTACGTTAAGCTATTAAACTTCGTAGTATACTTGATACCATTGGTGGATAACACCCTGGCCCCAGTGGTAAACAGGTTTGGTTACCCATTGGTGAGTAACACCCTGGCCCCAGTTGTAAACAGGTCTGGTTACCCATTGGTGAGTAACACTCTGGCCCCAGTTGTAAACAGGTTTGGTAACCCATTGGTGGGTAACACCCTGTCCCCATTTGTAAACAGGATCGTTAACCCATTGGTGGGGAACAGCCTGGCCCCAGCTGTAAACAGGTTTGGCTGCCCATTGGTGGGTAAGACCCTGGCCCCAGTTGTGCACTGGAGTACACACAGTAGTGCACTTAGTTACACACATTAGTGCTCTAAGGTACACACAGTAGTACACTAAGTTACACATATAAGTGCACTGGAGTAAACACAGTAGCGCACTAAGTTACACACATTAGAGCACTGGAGTAAACACAGTAGTGCACTAAGTTATACACAACAGTGCACTGGAGTACACACAGTAGTGCACTAAGTTATACACAACAGTGCACTGGAGTACACACAGTAGTGCACTAAGTTATACACAACAGTGCACTGGAGTACACACAGTAGTGCACTTAGTTACACACATTAGTGCTCTAAGGTACACACAGTAGTACACTAAGTTACACATATAAGTGCACTGGAGTAAACACAGTAGTGCTCTGTGTGTAACTTAGTGCGCTACTGTGTTTACTCCAGGGCACTACTGTGTGTCCAGGGTGTTACTCACCAGTGGGTAACCAAACCTATTTACCACTGGGGCCAGGGGGTTACCCACCAATGGTTACCAAACCTGTTTACAGCTGGGGCCAGGGTGTTCCCCACCAATGGGTTAACGATCCTGTTTACAAATGGGGACAGGGTGTTACTCACCAGTGGGTAACCAAACCTTTTTACAACACGGGCCAGGGTATTACCCCCCAATGGGTTACCAAAACTGTTTACCACTGGGGCCAGGGGGTTACTGACCAATGGGTAACCAAACCTGTTAACAACTGGGGCCAGGGTATAACCCACCAATGGGTAGCCAGACCTGTTTCCAACTGGGGCCAGGGGGTTACTGACCAATGGGTAACCAGATCTGTTTACAACTGGGTCCAGGGTGTTACCCACCAATTGTTAGCCAGACCTGTTTCCAACTGGGGCCAGAGTGTTACTCACCAACGGGTAACCAGACCTGTTTAAAACTGGGGCCAGGGTATAACCCACCAATGGGTAGCCAGACCTGTTTACAACTGAGGCCAGGGTGTTACCGGGCAATGGGTAACCAAACATGTTTACCAACTGGTGCCAGGGTGTTACCCACCAGTGGGTTACCAAACCTGTTTACCACTGGGGACAGGGTATTCCCTACCAATGGGTAACCAACCCTGTTTACAACTGGAGCCAGAGTGTTACTCACCAACGGGTAACCAGACCTGTTTTCAACTGGGGACAGGGTGTTACCCACCAGTGGGTAACCAAACATGTTTACCAACTGGGGCAAGGGTATTACCCACCAATGGTTAACAAAACCTTTTTACAACTGGGGCCAGGGTGTTACCCATTGGTGGGTAACACCCTGGCCCCAGTTGTAAACAGGTTTGGTTATTCATTGGTGGGTAACACCCTGGCCCCATTTGTTCAATGCATGGTTTATGTTAACCAGTGGTTGGTGAAAAATTCAAATTGTTACCACTGAAAAAAGGGCTTTCAAAGCAGAATAAACCCTCCAAACACATTGATCTGATCAGTCACAACAAATCTATAGCTGTGACATCAGATTTTTGTTGTATTCATATTGCAATTTTCCCTAATCAACCTTAAAGGAACCAGGGCCAAGACTTGATTTCATTAGTCAATCCTTTAATTATGACATCACATAACAATGCTTTTTGACATCATCTTTTAATGTGATTTAATAGTCCATGGCAACTGTTTCCCCGTTGGAAAAAGACAAAATGTATTTTCCAAGTGGTTATCCAGATAAAATATTAACACTATGGGAGAAAAAGGTCCCGGAACTCATGAGGGTTGTTATCATGTTTATCCCTCAATAGTTAGTTAGAAAAAACATAAAATGTTCAGTTCCTTCAAAAATATAATTTTGACACAATAACCATTCCTATTACCAACCTAACGAAATCTTTCAGTGTGTCAATCAATCTCTTTGACTCCTCCACTTTTTCTGACCCAAGGCACGCAAATAGGATGTGGGCGTCGTTGAAGGTGATGATGTGATCCTCGATATGTGACTGACAGCTCTCAAACACATCCTGCCAGCGGTCCTTCACATTGACCCCTGTGGCAGACATTTAACACCAAAGGTTGTACATTGATTGCGGGGATAAAAAATAATTAACTTCATAATTTAAATTTAAAAATAAAATTCAAAAAGGTTCAGTAAATTAAAAAGTTGAGCTTAAAGTCCAACAAGAGGCCCATGGGCCTTAACGGTCACCTGAGTCCTACAGTATTTACTTTTGTTGTTGAAATATGAACCAATTTGAGTAAAAAATAGTTAAGTATAACGTTAACTTAAGTTTGTCAGGAATATGAGTCCATCATTCCTAGACCGAGTTTCATTTAAATCGGCATATTAGAACTTGTTTTTAAGTTTGAAATAGTTGTTTCAAAATACTGGCCGTGGCAGCCATATTTGATTTCTGATTGACACTTTGTCAGGACCGTAAGTGATCATTCCTACCAAGTTTCAGTTCAATCGGCTCAGCAGATCTTGACTTTAAGGTGGCTCCACACTTTCGCAATTAACCAGCAAAATTCGTTGAAACTTTCATATAATGGTTATGCAACTATGTAGAGTTAATTTTATGAAAATCTAAACATTCCGATAGTTTGGGGAATTTTTTGGAAAAAATACCAAAAAATTGAATTTTCGCCACTTTTAATATTTTCCGTTTTTTTTTGTGTGTGGCATTGTTCGGAACAATAAAAACAATAAAAAAATGAAAAGAAGCATTTATAATTAATCCTACAAATATTTTATTTATCGCAAAATATGTAACACATGTTACACAAAGTGTTTTTTATTGAATTTGAACGGATAAAAGTGATTATCTACAAGCTAAAAGCAAACAGGACACACAGATCTATACATATAGAGTGGGAAATTGAACAAAATATACACAATGGCTTTATAATTAATTTATTTTACATTTTACAATCACTTTGATCCGGGTGAGAGTTATCTTCCTTGAAAAAAATCGGAACTTTTTGCAGAGGGATGACATTTACACAATGACAGTTGTCTCTGTTTACATATAACAAATGATGGAAATAAATCAAAAATATGATATCAAAATTATCAATTTATTGTTCTTTAATGGAACCAAATTACCCTCAGTCATGTACACTTTGGACATCATTCCACAGTCCGCTAACTCACGGTATATTTATAATTACATGTCAGGTACATATGTGACCAGAGGCTATCGCATGGTATGCCGTTCTCACGTGCCCTCACACATGCATTTCATAGGTATCTTGATATTTTACAAAACATTATTTTCACAGAGTAAGTAGACTACATTTGTAAACACGATTTAATCGACAGAGCGAAACTCCCTCAGCTTATGAACTCGTGTAAGCACGTGATATGCACATATGAGGTTGGTACGTCCGCATTCCATGTGTTTCCTATATGACCTTCTTGAGGTCGTCTGGTCTCATGTCACTGTCTTCCCGTGAGTCTGTTTATGTCAATGAATTGGAAAGCTTTATTCCTGAAGTACGTGTGATTATACATTTCCCGGTAAAATCTCGATATCGGGTGTTGACATATCATCGGCACGCACGTGTACTATTGTTTACCAGGGGCCTGTTCGTTTATGCGGAACAACCGGTTTGACCGTTTATAAATGTAACAATTCCGGGTATAAATCCTGGCGGACCTACAAATGTGTATGCAAGACTTGCAAGGCTTTCTCAAGGCTCGCCTGAAAGCAGCATCAGATAACTAGGTCCTACCTTATTTAATAAACGAACAACAGTGGTCCGATCGGTTTGACCGTTTAAACGCAAACGGCCCAGGTGTTACTATAATTTGCACTACAATATTGAATACCCGATACGCAAAACGGAAATGACGACACGGTGTACATGCACATTTCGATCAAGATAATTGAGTCCGAGCTGTACTTTTTCCGGAAGTACGTCACGAAAATGGACACTGATGACGATGTGTCGAGCCACCTTAAGTTTGAAATAGTTTTTGAAAATGGCGTCTGTGTCGGCCATATTGGATTTCTGATCGACCCGAAAAATAACAACACTTTGTCAGGACCATGAGTCGATCATTCCTACCAAGTTTCAGTTCAATCGGTCCAGAATTTGACTTTAAGTTTGAAATAGGTTTTCAAAATGGCGGCCGTGGCGGCCATATTGGATTTCTGATCGAACCGAAAAATTACAACACTTGGTCAGGGAGATGAAATATTAATGAAATCCCCTTGCCAGTATTTCAGCCTAAGTTGAAAATGTAAAAGCTCAGGTGACCTAAAAATCTCTATATATTTTCACACAGGTTACAGTATAACATATGACCTCAATAAACTGCAACCTGCTGCCCTGTTTTGAGATGATACCTTTCTCTTATCTGGACAGGTGTATCCACACTTTTACCGGTGGGAGATTTCCTTATCTCACCCTAGGGTTGAGACAAGGGGAATTCCCCTATTTATAACAGTGGTATGACGTCACTTCATCAATACAATGACGTCACATCAACAAGCCATCAACATCACGTCAACCCTGAATTTAGCATGTAATGTTATCATTACATTGTGTATCATATACATAATGTAATGATAACTTTTCATGGGAGAACAGGGTAAGAGAAAAAGAATCGTTCACCCCCTTGTGGGTGTGATTTGGGAATCTCAACCCTCGGGTAGAGATTCCCTATCTCACCCCCAAGAGGGTGAGAGATTCTATTAATCTATACCTGTGTGTACCTTTTACTTTCCCCAGTTGACATACCTTCCATCTGAAGCCTGAACAAAAGGGACGCAGCATCGACCACGTCTAATAACGCTCCCGAGGTCTTGGCTCTCTTCATAATCTCACTGTCAAATATTCCTAAAGCATCGTCATAGGTACCCTGTTAATAAACGTTTAATGGTGAAGTAAATGAATTGTTTTTACAGAAACATCCAATATATACAAGATCAGAGCTATCTAAGCCAGGTGACACAAATAAACGTCTTGGCATGGACTGGTTTTATGGTAAAATAATTATGGTAAAATAATTATTTATACAGCATACAGGTTCGCCGCGGTTTAACTTTCACCTCCATTCATCTTCTAAGTTTCAGGGGTTACACTCAACTATGGATTTGCAACCCTGGAACATGTCATGACAAAAGTGAACTATTGGTTTAAAAAAAGAGATAACCAATGGCTGAGGCTGATACCTGCCCTTTAAAATTACAGATGAATAACATATATAAAGCCGGTCAATTTTACCGTTACACCATTCATGCGAATCTTTTGATGTACATTAACTCATTCACCCCTGAAATTTCATAATGAACTATTCCACCCTTTGAATTGGAAGAGTATAAATTTGTCTTCATCCATAACGTCTGGACTTCCGAGGATACCATCCATAACGTCTGGACTTCCGAGGATACCATCCATAACGTCTGGACTTCCGAGGATACCATCCATAACGTCTGGACTTCCGTGGAAACCATCCATAACGTCTGGACTTCCGTGGAAACCATCCTTAACGTCTGGACTTCCGTGGACACCATCCTTAACGTCTAGACTCCCGAGGACACCATCCATAACGTCTGGACTTCCGAGGACACCATCCTTAACGTCTAGTCTCCCGAGGACACCATCCATTACGTCTAGATTTCCGAGGATCCCATCCATAACGTCTAGACTCCCGAGGATACCATCCATAACGTCTGGACTTCCGAGGACACCATCCTTAACATCTGGACTTCCGTGGAAACCATCCTTAACGTCTAGACTCCCGAGGACACCATCCTTTACGTCTAGATTTCCGAGGATACCATCCATAACATCTAGACTTCCGCGGACACCATCCATAACGTCTAGACTCCCGAGAATCCCATCCATAACTTCTAGTCTTCCGAGGATACCATCCATAACGTTTAGTCTTCCGAGGATACCATCCATAACGTTTAGTCTTCCGAGGATACCATCCATAACGTCTAGTCTTCCAGGGATACCATCCATAACATCCAGTCTTCCGAGGATCCCATCCATAACGTCTAGTCTTCCGAGGATACCATCCATAACGTCAAGACTTCCGAGGATACCATCCTTACGTCTGGACTTCTGAGGATACCATCCATAACGTCTGGACTTCCTAGGAAACCATCCTTAATGTCTAGACTCCCGAGGATACCATCCATAACGTCTGTACTTCCAAGGATACCATCCATAACGTCCAGTCTTCCGGGGATACCATCCATAACATCAAGTCTTCCGAGGATACCATCCATAACGTCGGGACTTCCAAGGATACCATCCATCACGTCTGGACTTTCGTGGATACCATCCATAAAGTCTGGACTTTCGTGGATACCATCCATAACGTCTGTACTTCCAAGGATACCATCCATAATGTCCAGTCTTCCGAGGATACCATCCAGAACGTCTGGACTTCCAAGGATACCATCCATAATGTCCAGTCTTCCGAGGATACCATCCAGAACGTCTGGACTTCCAAGGATCCCATCCATAATGTCCAGTCTTCCGAGGATACCATCCATAGCGTCTAGTCTTCCAGGGATACCATCCATAACGTCCAGTCTTCCGGGGATACCATCCATAACATCAAGTCTTCCGAGGATACCATCCAGAACGTCTGGACTTCCAAGGATACCATCCATAATGTCTGGACTTCCGAGGACACCATCCATAACGTCTAGACTCCCGAGGATACCATCCATAACATCAAGTCTTCCGAGGATACCATCCATAACGTCTAGTCTTCCAAGGATACCATCCATAACGTCCAGTCTTCCGAGGATACCATCCATAACATCTAGTCTTCCGAGGATACCATCCATAACGTCTGGACTTCCAAGGATACCATCCATAACGTCTGGACTTTCGTGGATACCATCCATAATGTCTAGACTTCCGTGGATACCATCCATAACGTCTGGACTTTCGTGGATACCATCCATAACATCTGGACTCCCGAGGATACCATCCATAATGTCTGGACTTTCGTGGATCCCAACCATAACGTCTAGACTTCCAGGGATACCATCCATAATGTCTGGACTTTCGTGCATCCCATCCATAACGTCTAGACTTCCGAGGATACCATCCATAACGTCTGGACTTTCGTGGATACCATCCATAACATCTGGACTCCCAAGGATACCATCCATAATGTCTGGACTTTCGTGGATCCCATCCATAACGTCTAGACTTCCGAGGATACCATCCATAACGTCTAGTCTTCCAAGGATACCATCCATAATGTCTAGTCTTACGAGGATACCATCCATAACGTCTAGACTTCCGAGGATACCATTCATAATGAGGGCAAATTCAAAAAGGTCATTGACTTCATTAAGTTGATTTTACCACTGAAGGGAGAAAGTTTAACCCTTTCACCACGATAGACTATAATGGACTATAATCCAGATCAATGCATGGTCAAGTTTAATAAAGTTGTATAGGGGTGAAAGGGTTAATGGGTGAAATTTCCCTGTATACAGTGTGTCCTAAGGTAATAATATAAGGTTCAGTGTGACAGTGGGTGATAAAACTTTTTAATGCGTAAGATTTATGGCTCATATGGCATTAGAAATAGAAATACCTGACCCTTGATTTAAAGTTTAACCTCAACTTAAGAGTTCTAAATGTGATAAATTACAAAATAATATCCTTGCGCATTAATGAGACCGGTAAGATGAATAAAGTTATCTACCTTTTCTATGTTGTAAACGCCATAGTGCCAGTAGTTATGACAAGCAATCATCCCACAGGTCTGAAACACAGAGGTCAAAATTATTACAAGGTCAGTCATCCCACAGGTCTGAAACACAGAGGTCAAAATTATTACAAGGTCAATCATCCCACAGGTCTGAAACACAGAGGTCAAAATTATTACAAGGTCAATCATCCCACAGGTCTGAAACACAGAGGTCAAAATTATTACAAGGTCAATCATCCCACAGGTCTGAAACACAGAGGTCAAAATTATTACAAGGTCAATCATCCCACAGGTCTGAAACACAGAGGTCAAAATTATTACAAGGTCAATCATCCCACAGGTCTGAAACATAGAGGTCAGAAATATTACAAGGTCAGTCATCCCACAGGTCTGAAACATAGAGGTCAAAATTATTACAAGGTCAATCATCCCACAGGTCTGAAACACAGAGGTCAAAAATATTACAAGGTCAATCATCCCACAGGTGCAAAACACAGAGGTCAAAAATATTACAACGTCAATCATCCCACAGGTCTGAAACATAGAGGTCAACAAGAGGCCCATGGGCCTTAACGGTCACCTGATATATTTATACAGAGAGTTGATTTCGTTTTTAACATGAACAGAAATATTATTCAAAGTGACAAAAAACAATAAAACCACCTTATTCAATATCAAGCATACAGATTTCAGACTAAAAAGGATTTGAAACTAGCACCTCTGATTCTAAACAAGGAAAATGAAGAAATTTTAGCACACTGACTCCCTTGAGCCCCACCCTACAGCCCTTGGGGGTAGGGCTGGCTCAAAATTTTCAAAGTATCAAACTGTCAACTCAAGGTTATAATTCCAATCAAGTTATTAACATGTAATATTCAAA